TGAGATATTTGCATTCCTGACGCTCTTCCTCTTTCCTGAGATTCTAAGTGTACATCTTGTATCATTTGCTTGCAGCCTGGAGAAAGTCCTTTACCATTTCCCACAGGGTGGACCTTTGTGAACACAACCTTTTTTAATTTTTTTTTTCTGAAGACCTATTTTGATTCACTCTTGAAGGACATTTTTGGTGAATATAGAATAATGGGTGGACAATTTTTTTCTTTTAGGAGAGGTATCCTACTTTCTTTGCCCCCCTCTTTTTTCATATTGAGGTGTCATTGGTATAAGACCCTGTACATGACTTAGGGATCAGGCTCACACCTCCCAGATGCAGGTGCCCCACACCACCACCCAAGCACCCACAGTCCTTCACCGTGGACCTCTACCGTAGCCTGTGTTTTCTGCTGAGAGTCATCAGATGGGAGAGGAGACACAGAGGCTCCAACCAGAACTACCGTGGTGAAGGGAAGATCTATCACATCAGCCTCTGCCATCATCCTCACGGTCATGCCAATTAAATGCAGAAGAGGCCGCGCATGAGCAGTCCCTGCAGCACTGAGGGAGGCAGAGCAAGACCAGGAAAGAGGACCCCTTTGGTTCCCGCAAATCTCCTGAAAGAGAGGGAGGCTTATCACGTCATCAAGGCCACTTAGACAAAGCAGGCACTTTGGGAAAAGAAGGAGCAGGGGCGGGAAAGACCTTAGACTGTAAATTAAAATCAACAATAAAAGGGTCCATCTGTCTGGTCTCAACTAAGGGCGCACGCCCAAGAGCCAAGACACAGCAGGCCTGGCCTTGCTGAGAAGCAGCATCAGCAACACCAAAAAGCTGTCTCCCCGCAGATCAGTACCTTCCAGTAAAGACAGAGCTCAAGCAGGATGGCCCTGCTCACACCCCCGCTCCCGAAGATAAGGCTCCTTGTGCTCCTCAGTGCATAGACAGGTCAAATAGGTACATTAACTAGACACCTGTTATGGGCTGTTTTCTGTAAAAATCCTCGAAAATGTACAATGTTTTCCTTGTGGACTCTATAAAATTCTCATCGTGAGGCTTAAAATTGGAAAAGCTTTGCCAGAGCGTCTAGAGACTGCACTGGGCTCCAGCCCTCCATCTTATTCTTCAATAAACTCACCTTTGCTTCCTTCATCTTATTGAAACTGCAGGTATAAAGGACAAGAATGATTTCTGCATGATTTCTGGTGGCAACAGCGTCCCCAAGCCTTCAGCCACCCCAGTGGCTGTGTGATGCAGTGTCCCCATAAGACAGTGTCACCACCAGTGGCGTGTCTGAGGAGTAGCTTCTCCCCATCACAGGGTCCTGCTGTCCAGTCTCTCAGGAGGAGTACATGACTCAGTAGAGAGACTCCCACAATTCCTGTCTGTGGAGACCCAGAGCTTTGAGTGAGGTGTGTCCCTGCTAGAGCCTCCCCCTTGCTAGAGAGGAAAGGAAACTGAGGTCAGAGTGTCACTGACGGAAACAGGAGCCCCAGGGCCTACCCCTGGGTAGACTCAGAGCTGATGATGTCAGCAATCTGTGGCTCAGTTTCTCCTCTGGCACCTGGCATATGCCATTATTATGATAATTTTTATTTTTAAAGATTTATTTTTATTTATGTATGTATACAAGAACTGGATAAAGTTCTTGGTGTGGATACTCACGGAGATAACCACACCACAGTGAAATGGTAGGCCAGAGGTGTGGGGTTTGACAAGATTCACCAGAGACAGAGTGTGGAGCAGAACAGGCAGATCTACTGAAATATACTGCAGAGGGGAGCAGCAGGCAAGACAGGAGAGGTCCGCTGTGCCATTTGGGCAGCACCCTGGCCAGGGATCAAACTCATGCTGCAGTGGCTGGCCATAGCTTAATAGTGCTGAGACTTAACCCTTGTGCACCAGGGAGGCTCCCACCTTAATGGTTTTTTTTTTTAATAAGTTATGTATTTATATATATTTTACAGCATTGTTCATTTTTGTACAATGTTTGCTTTCTTTCTTCAGGTCAAGTCGTCTCTATAGAACTCCCACGATCAGTTCTCCCATGCACCATCACCATAGTCCCTTGTGCTCGTCCCACCCTTGTTTTGATACCTCTTGTTCCCCCTCTCCTGCAGAATGTCTCTGATTTATAGTTGGCTGTTTATTTATTATTGTTATTATCGTTTATTATTATTTATTATTTATTATTATTATTTATTTATTATTGTTATTATTTTTTTCCAGATCCCTTTTTGGCTCTCCTATATTCCTACTATAATTGAAGCCACCTGCTAATTTTCTTTCTCCTTCGGATTTATTTCACTGAGCATAATCCCTTCTAGTTTCATCCATGTTGCTGCGAATGGCATGAGTTTATCTTTTTGGATTGCTGACTAGTGTTCTTTGTGTGTATATACCACATCTTCTTCATCCAGTCATCTATATTTGGGTATTTGGGTTGTTTCCAAATCTTACCTATTGTAAATAGTGCTGCAATAAACGTAGAGGTGAGAGTGTTCTCACCAAATGAAGGAGCACCAACATATATAAGACAATTATTATCAGCTCTGAAAAAAACATTAGAGAAAACAGATATATAGTAGAAGACATCAATACCTCACTCTCACCGATGGACACATCAATGAGACAAAAATGAACAAGGACATTAGCACCCTAAATAAAAACCTAGACATCTTGGGTTTAACAGACATCTATAGGACACTATACCCAAAAAACTCTGAGTGCACATTTTTCTCAAGTGTGCCTAATCATTCTCCAGAATTGATTACATGTTGGACCACAAGATAAACATCAACAGATACATTACCCTCAAAATCATTGCAACTGGGCCTCCCCTGGTGGCGCAGGTGGTTGAGCACCTCACTATGAAGCTTTTTGCCACGCTCTTCGCCGCACTCTTTGCAGCCTCTGTAGCGACGGTTCAATCCTAGCCAGCCATCAAGGGTCCCACCTGGTGCGGCAGACCTCTCCTGTCGCACCCGCTGCTCCCCTCAGCAGTGTATTTTGTCAGTCTGCCTGTTTGCTCCCTGCTCTGTCTCTGGTGAATCCTCTCACGCTCCTGCACATTTGGCCTGTACTCCAGTTCTTGTATAAATAAATAAATAAATAAATCTTAAAAAAAAAAATCATTGCAACTATCTGGCCTCCCTGGTGGTGCTATGGGGTAAAACGCAACCTATGAAGCTATCTGCAGACATAGCAGCAGGAGTTTGATCCCTGGTCAGGGAGCAACCCATATGGCGCAGCAGACCTCTCCTGTCTCACCCACTGTTCCCTTCAGCAACGTATTTCAGTCAGTCTGCCTGTTCTGTTACCAACTTTGTCTCTGGTGAGTTCTCACCCCCCCAACACCTCTGGCCTGTACCCCAGTTCTTGTATGCATAATAAATAAATCTTTAAAAAAATAAAATTAAATTTAAAAAAATAGAAAAAAAAATCATTCCAATTATCATCTCTCATCATAAAGGCATCAAACTAGAAATAAACCATGCAAATAAAGGAGGAACCCCCCACTTCGTGGAGATTGAACCCCACGCTACAGGGAGAACACTGGATTAAAGAGGAGATCACTCAGTGTCATGGGGCCATTTGTGGCCTAAAGAGCCAGATCCCCAATTTTACCGCCGTGTCAGTGGGGATCATTCATGGATTTCAGTATTGTCCCCTGTATAGGCTCAAGGAGGCAAATTGCCCCAAAACTAGGTGGATACAATCTGAGCACTTCTAATGGTCATTTCAGGTAAAATCTAGGAAATAGTTTAACTGTCCCACCACTTACAAATTTATGTAATTTGCATGCTGTTATATGAAAATGATTTGTATGGGTTTTTTTTAAGATTTATTTATGTATACAAGAACCAGATGCACAGGCCAGATGCACGGGAGGGTAAGAGGATTCACCAGACACAGAGCAGGGAACAGAACAGGTAGACTGACGAAATGCACTGCTGAGGGGAGCACCTGGCGCGACAGGAGAGGTCTGCTGTGCCATGTGGGATCCTTGCTGGCAGGCCGGGATTGAACCAGCGCTGCAGAGGCTGCGGACAGATTCACAGCGTGGTGCTTAACTGCCTGCGCCACCAGGGGAGGCCCTGATTTGTGTTTTTATGTCTTCAAATATCTAAGAAAAGTTGATGATTTGAAGTTTAAGGCTATAAGTTTCTAGGTTGTGTATTTTCTGGTAATAATTTGTTATATAATGTTAACGTAGTACTCATATAAAGGAATTGGTGTGATTTGGATGACTGCATACGGGATAATGACAAAGTGAAATCATTATTTCCTTTTCTTTTTTAAAAATTTATTCTTATTTATTTATGTATACAAGAACTGGGGTGTAGGCCAGAGGTGTGAGGGGGTGACAAGATTCACCAGAGACAGAGTGGGGAGCTGAACAGGTGCATCTATTAATATACACTGCTGTGGGGAGCAACAGGTGAGACAGGTAAGCCCTGCTGTGCCTTGGGGGTCAGCTCCCTGGGCAGGGATCCACCTTCAGTGGGGACCCTCACAAAAGGATCAGAAACAACCAGACAAGTCTGGGAGGAAAAGAGCAAAATCAAAAGCAAGACAAAAACTGCCATTGCCTCCTCCCCACGGGCCTCTCGCCCACATCTGTGTCACCCAGTCTAGGACCAAAAGGCAAGAGCAGTTTCTTCACGCGTCTCTCTGCTCCATGCGCCTCCTCCAGGTCTCCTTCTGGCTCCATCCTGCTTCCTCCCTTCCTCAGTGTCCGCTGCAGCTTCTCTCCCTGCTCAGCTCCAGCCTCCCTTGGGTGGGGCAGGGAACCTGGAACCTTCCCTTTTCAGGGGACCACCCTGTTACAATGTGAACTAACATTCAGAACTAATTTTCTGGGGTTTCAGGCGTCCCTGTGACCTTTAAAGTTTTTCTACTTCACTCGTTAACTTTTTTAGATCAGCCCAGGTGGGTGGAGCAGATGCTCCATTGAGCCACAGGATTCCTGTTCCTCCTTTCGTGGCCCCTCCCGAGAGGCGGACGTGACGCAGCGTTTGGATCTGGGACAGTCAGCGGATCGTCATGGCGGCAAAGGAACGCTAGGAGTGCGCGCTCCCATATAAGCAATTAATAGGGAGAAAAGCCGCTGGTCCCTGCTCCAACCCGGACACGCAAGATAAACTGGCGACGCCGGCAAGTTGCGATAACAGAGGAGCAGAGGGAGCAGCGGAGGCCCCCGCCCCTTGACTCTGGCTCCTCCGCCCTGCGGGAAGGAGAAGCGGAAGCGAGTGTCGAGGCGCAGCGCCGGAGAGTGCGGGGTCGCCCCGCGGAGTCGCCAACTGGGCGCCCGGAGAGGCAGGTAGGGGCCCGAGACCTGCTGTCGCGGCGCGATCGATGAGCGTCAGGCGGGAGCTGGCGCTCGGAGAGGACTCCATCCACCCTGTAGTGGCCACGGACAAGCTTGAGATCCTGCGGGCCGCCAGCCCCAAGCTCCCTGGTTCCTCTGACCCGAGACAGGGGCCCCACGTGTCTTAGCCGGGACTTTCCCTACGTGGAGGGCCCGGCCGGGGGAGTCTCGAGGCTGGAGGCCGCAGGGCGGATGGTCGCGCCGGGGCGGAGCTGCTTGGCCGCTCGTGCGCTGTCGGGGAGCAGGTCACCCGGTCGCGGGGAGCAGAGCCGGGGAGCGCGGGTCGGTTCGCGGCTGCCGGACTGGGGAGCGGGAGTGACGAGCAGGGCGAGGAGAGGTTCGGCTGCAGAGCGAGGCTGAGTCCAAAGCGGGCAGCGACCCGGGCTCCGCAAGAGCAGCCTCGGCGCGTCCTCTGCTCCGCGCAGGTTGTTAGGGCTGTGCTGGGTTGGCTTCAGGTAGCGGCTTCTTTTATACCTTCTTTAAAAAAAAAAAAAGGTGAAAGGTTGTAAAGTTGGCGAAGGAAGAGACGAGCAGAGAGTGTTATAGGACAGGGAGAGGGGCAGCCCAATCCCCGCAAACCTGTCTATTTTTAATGGGTTCTGCCATCCGCCGCATCAACACAAAACATAGGAGACTTTAATGGGAAGGAACTTTAATAAAACTAGGAAACAATACAGGTAAGGCAAAGAGTCTAGTTTCTAAATCAAGCACCCAAAGTTACCCGTCCCCTCGTGGGTAAAAGTCCATCCATATGGGATCGGCCCAGAGCAAGGCCCCAAAGCCTGCCACAAGTCTAAAGCATCTTCCAGTGGGGACCCACAGAAAAGGGTCACAAACAACCGGACAAGCCCGGAAGGAAAAGAGCAAAATCAACATCAAGATAAAAGCTGCCATGGTCACCTCCCCACGGGTCTCACCCACATCTGTGTCACCCAGTCCACGACCAAAAGACAAGCGCAGTTTCTTCACATGTCTCTAGGCTCCATCCACCTCCTCCAGGTCTCCTGGCTCCATCCTGCTTCCTTCCTCAGTCTCTTCTGCAGCTTCTCCTCTTCCTGCTCAGCTCCACCCTCCCTTGGGTGGGGCAGGGAACCTGGAACCTCCCCCTTTCCTGGGGACCACCCTGTTACAAGAGGAGGGAAAGAAAAGTAAAGTTTAATAGGCAGCGCTCCCGGGCGGAGACCCACTAAGTCACTTGAGGACCCAAGGAGACCGTGCGCAGGACCAGGCACTGGGGTGTTTATGGGGGGCGAGCGACGTGTCATTCTCCACTGGGTCTTTTCCTTTTTTGGCCGGGTTTTTCGCTGGGCGCCTCCCTTCGCATGGATTAAGTGGCTCCAGCAATTTGCTTCAGGGCCGGTGACATTCCCAGAAGCCCGGGCCCCAACAAAAAAATTTATCCATTTGTTTTTATACAAGAACTGGGGTACAGACCAGATTCGCGGGAGGATGAGAGGATTCACCAGAGCCAGAGCGGGGAACAGAACAAGCAGACTGACGAAATGCACTGCTGAGGGGAGCAGCAGGTGAGGAGAGGTCCGCTGCTCCATGTGGGACCCTCGCCAGCCTGCCCACGGCATCGAACCCGCGTGGCAGAGGCTGCGGGCAGCTTCACAGAGAGGTGCTCAACAGCCTGCGCCACCCGGGGAGGCCGTCCTTTCTGATTTCTTAATCAGTCTTAGGCTCAGGCACCCTCTGCTTTATCAGTCTTTACCACTCAGCATGTGGCCTCAGCTACTTTCACCCACAGTACTCACAGCCACCTTCATATTTCCAATTTTACTTGTAAGCTTCATATATTCGTTACACCTGCAAATAGCCAAAGGGCAGTTGGTGAGCTTGGGAGAAAAAGCGGTGCGGAAAGCACAGGCGAGTCGGGGCTGCCCAGGTCCCCAGCGACCTGGAGCTGTGGGGAGATGCAGGAGCTGGCACTGAGCTGTCTCTGGAGCTGTCTGTTGGACCCAACTCCTGGTCAGGGCGCACAGCCTATGCCTGCGGGGACAGATAGCAGTGCCCCCTCTCCCAGGTCAGTGATGGGACAGGCCTGGCCAGTCTGGTCCTCGCAGCAGGGCCGGTGAAGCCAGGAGGCGAGCTACAGAGCGAGAGACCCCAAGGCCCAAGTGTTTGGTTTTTATACCCAACCTGGCTGCCTAACTCCACCCTCAGGTCCCAGCCACCTTCCCTTTGGTGGTGACGGGATTTGTCTTTCCCAGTGTCTTTTTTTTTTTTTAAAGATTTGTTTATTTATACAAGCACTGGGTACAGTCAGAAGAGCAGGAGGGTGAGAGAATTCTCCAGAGCCAGAGCGGGGAGCAGAGCAGGCAGAAGGACCGAAGTACACTGCTGAGGGGAGCAGCGGGTGGCAGGAGAGGTCTGCGGGCCATGTGGGACCCTCCTTCTGGGAGCAGCCAGGATGACTTTAGTCTGGAGTAGGGGTGGGGGTCCACAAAGCCTGTATGGGATTAGCTCAGATCATCCTTTCCCCCTAACACTTTCAGGACATAGAATTTAATGTTTTAGAATTTTTGGTATCAAAGAAGTTGTCATAGGATTCACAGACTTACAGATTTTTATAAAATAGTTAATTACTCAGTGATAAGGAATTTTAAGAATAGAGCTATTTCTTTGACAAGGGTTAGCAATGCTGATAGGAAAAGATTTTTTTCTCATAGCCTGAGGGTAAAAAAGCACAAAGATTTTTAGATTACATAAACAGTCCTTAGTTTGTATCAAAAACAGTGAGAACAGTTTAAGAATACTTGAGTCCTTATTAAAGATGAAAATTAAAGTTTGGTTTTACATAAGTACACTACTGATACCAAATTTAAATATTTCCATAGCAAGTCAGCACCCAAAGTTACCCATCCCCTCGTGGGTAAAAGTCCATCCAAATGGGATTGGCCCAGAGCAAGGCCCCAAAGCCTGCCACAAGTCTAAAGCATCTTCCAGAGGGGACCCACAGAAAAGGATCACAAACAACCTGACAAGCCCGGAAGGAAAAGAGCAAAATCAACATCAAGATAAAAGCTGCCATTGTCACCTCCCCAGGGGTCTCACCCTTTAGGACATCATTTCCCCCTAACAATTTGAGCACCTAACTTTTTTTTCAGATACCTCTCAGACCTTCAACACTTTCTTTTGCCTTCCTATTTTTATACCATTTCTTTTTAAAGACAGCCATTTTATTTTGACAATCAATGTTTCCCAATACCCTCAACATATCCATTTAAATACATTCCTTAACACAACTTACTTTATTTGCACTTACAGTTAGGACATCTTGTTTTTAATTTTTAGATTGTAAGACATTGTAAAGACTGTTATGCTATCACTCCTTTGTACTGCATAACTCATACATAAACACACGTTTTAATTGGTTTAATTTTTTTAGGTGAGATGACATTAAATTTTAGTTTTGGGCCTCCCCTGGTGACGCAGCGGTTGAGCACTGGGCTGTGAAGCTGCCTGCAGCCTGTGCAGCACTGGTTTGATCCCTGGCCACTTGTGAGGGTCCCACATGGCACGCAGGCACCTCCTGCCACCCCCGCTGCTCCCCTCACCTGTATATTTAGTCAGTCTGCCTGTTCTGTTCCCTGCTCTGACTCTGTTGAATTCTCTGACCCTCCCGCGCTTTTGACTATAATAAAAAAATTTTAAAAAATTAAATAAATTTTAGATTTCTTATAAGAGGCAAAAAGTAAACCTGCAAGCTCAATGATTTTAGAGAAAGTGATTTTAATTATTTAACAAATTCTCATTGTTAAACTTAGTAAAACCTTAGTTTTATATGAAATTTGGCCACTATTTTTTTTTAAATTTTTATTTATTTATTCATACAAGCACTGGGTACAGTAGAAGCGCGGGAGGGTGAGAATTCACCAGAGGCAGAGTGAGGAGCAGAAAGGCAGACTTAACGAAATACACTGCTGAGGGAGCTGTGAGCGCCACAGGAGAGGTCTGCCTGCCATATGAGACCCTCCCCTGGCGGCGGGGTCGAACTGGCACTGCAGAGGCTGCGGGCAGCTTCGCAGCTCAGCACTTAACCGCTGTGCCACTAGGGAGGCCCAAAATTTGGCCACTATTTACAAAATAATAAGAGAACAAATTTAAGAAAGATACCAATTGTAGTTTTTAGGGTTTTTTTATGAGTGGAATTTTAAATTAATTCCATAGTTGCAAATTGTAACAATCCCATAATCCAAATTTCATTCTTAGGCAAGCACTAGTTAGATTGATGAACAGCAAGAAAAATCAGAGACTTAACATCATATACATTTCCTACATACCTGTGAGGAACTCAGTACTGCTAAGTAACTTGCAGGTGAGGCTATAGACGTCATCTTGAAATTTTTGCTAGGACAAGGGGAAAGAGAGAAGTCAATTGGGGCTTTTCCTGGAAATGAATTTTATCAAGAGAACATCGGGTATAATCACCAAAATGCAAACTTGCCTTCTTTGATGTAGACTCAGTCCATTACTCTTTTTCTGAATACTGTGCACTTCCTTTTTAAAATAAAGACATTTAAACATAAAGTATTGATACCCAATATTATAACCTTAAAGCTTGCATGCTTCATATTCAACCATTAAGTTTTGAACTAGTTTTTGATTACCAAAATGTTAGATCGCGATCTCAAAATTGGGGATTTTTTTATTAGAATTTATAGAGGCGCCCTTTATAATCAACCCTCCGGTGGCCAAAGACAGTAATAGACAATGAAATTTTTTGATTCTCATTTTAAAACTTTGGCCATGTGTATTCGTTTTTCTTTTTTTTTTTTTAAGATTTGTTTATTGTGCATACAAGAACTGGGATACAGGTCAGTCGTGCAGGGGGTGAGAGTGCTGGGGAGCAGTACAGGCAGAATGACTGAACTACACTGCTGAGGGGAGCAGCAGGCAAGACAGGAGAGGTCTGGTGAACCCTGTGGGTAGCTCCCTGGCCAGGGATT